AAAAAAAAAAAAAAAAAAACGCTGCTGATGACGATCAAGGATAGTTCATTTAAAATACATTTTTAGCTTTTTAGGGGTGCCTGGGTGGCTCAGTCGGTTGAGCGTCCGACTTCAGCTCAGGTCACGATCTCACGGTCCGTGAGTTCGAGCCCCGCGTCGGGCTCTGGGCTGATGGCTCAGAGCCTGGAGCCTGCTTCTGATTCTGTGTCTCCCTCTCTCTCTGTCCCTCCCCCGTTCATGCTCTGTCTCTCTCTGTCTCAAAAATAAATAAAAACGTTAAAAAAATTTTTTTTAAAATACATTTTTAGCTTTTTAAAATTGTGATGTCTATCTTTTTTGAGCCACAGAAGTCTGATTGGTCCAATGCTTATTATGCACGGAGTCCTTTGATAAGTGATTTACGTTTTTTTATGGAATTCTCATGACCACCTGGAGAGAGGGGAACCATTACTAACTTCAGTTTACAGGTGAGAAAACAGTAGTGCTGAGATGTGAAGCTAATTGACTTTACAGCAACAGGCTAGAAGGGATATTGAACAGCCTGCACTCCAGGAAGGAGAAAACTCACACTCAAAGGGAAAGTGAGCAGATAAGAGACATTCAACCTATTCATGAGGGAGTGGGGAATTTGAACCCAAGTCTGTCAGGTTTTAAAGCCAGTGCCCCACCATCATGAAATCCCAGTGTTTTGCTCTTGACTCAGCACGTGCAATCTGTCTGATCCAGTATCTCCCATTCCTGTTATTTGAGTCAAAGTACATCCAGGTACTAGCAATGCTTTTATTTACTTGGTAGGGTTTTTTCTACTGAATGTTGTTAAGCCTTTAAAGTTCTTCATTAGAACCTAATAGATCACTATTGTACATAGAAAACCCAAACTATCGGACATAAATAAGTGTGCAAGCGAGAGCACACTTTATCTTTTCCCACCTGAACCCCAACTGATACAGAAGATAAGAGTAAAAAGAGAACATCTTAAAAATTAAAGAATATTGTTTAAATTCTAGCTAGCTACTGTTGCCTGCTGAAGGCTCTGAGCCAAAGACCCTCCTTCTCACTTTCCAAAGGGATGTCATGGGGAAAGTGTTGTAGGCATAGTAACATCAAATCAAAATATTCTCAGGGTGTCATCAAAAGGATTGAAGGAATGAAAAAGGGGATACCTTTTTTATGGGCACCTGGGTGTGTCCGACTTCAGCTCAGGTCACGATCTCACGGTTCATGAGTTTGAGCCCTGCTTCGGGCTCTGTGCTGACAGCTCAGAGCCTGGATCCTGCTTCGGATTCTCTCTCTCTCTCTCTCTCTCTCTCTCTCTCTCTCTCTCTCTGCCCCTCCCCTGCTCATTCTCTCTCTCTCTCTCTCTCTCTCTCTCTCTCTCAAAAATAAACATTAACAAAAATTTGTAAGGGGATACTTTTTTTAATTTTTTAATGTTGTGTCTGTGAACCAAGAAAAAACACCATGAAAAGCTTTTAATTTCAACTAAAATTCAACAAGGGAGCCAAAAACATCCAATGGAGGATACTCTCTTCAACAGATGGTGTGTAGAAACTGGATAAGCCACACGAAGCAATGAAATGGGAACTCTATTTCACACCACTCACAAAAATTAACTTGAAATGGATCAAAGACTTAAGCATAAGACTCAATACCATAAAACTCTTAGAAGAAGCCCCTCAACATGGGTCTCGGCAATGATTTCTTGGATATGACACCAAAAGCATAAACAGCAAAAGCAAAAATCAGCAAACTCAAAGACTTCTGCACAGGAAAAGAAACAATTGACAGAATGAAAAGACAATCAAAAAATTGGGAGAAAATTTTTGCAAACCGTATATTGGATAAACGTTAACCCAAAATGTGTAAAGAACTCATACAACTTAATGACAAAAACACAAACAATCCAACTTAAATGGGAAGGGGGGCAAACTAAATAGATATTTTTCCAAAGAGGACATCAAATTGGCCAACAAGCACACGAGAGGATGCTCAACATCAGGGAAATGTAAGTCAAAACCACAATGAGATACCACCTCAAAAGACAAAAGACAACAGGTGTCAGGGAGGATGTAGTGAAGAGCAAACCCTGGTGCACTGTTGGTGGGAATGTAAATTGGTCCAACCACTATGGAAAACAACATGGAGTTTCCTCAAAAATTAAAAACAGGTCTACTCTACAATCCAGCAATTCCACTTCTGGGTATATACCCAAAAGAAGTGAAAACAGAATCTTGAAGAGATATATGCACTCCTCTATTTATTGCATCATCATTCACAATAGCCAAGATATGGAAACAACCTAAATGCCCATCAAGGGATGAGTGGGTAAAAAAGGTGATACACACACACACACACACACACACACAATAGAGTATAATTCAGCTGTGAGATAGGAAGATATCCTGCCTTTGTGACAACATGGATGGACGTGAGTACATTATGCTAAGTGAGATAAGTCAGAGAAAAACATGCACAGTGCAATATTACTTACACTTGGAATCTAGAAAAAATAGAGTGGTGGTTGCCAGGGGAGGGAGGGTGCGGGGATAAGACTGATGTTGTTTAAGGGTACAAACTTGCAATGAGTGGTAAATAAGACAGGTCTAATGCACAGTGTAATGAATATAGACAATATTATACTACAATCATCAAACTTGCTAAAAGACTACTTAATTATCTCAGCCATTAACAAGAAAGGGTAATTATGTAATGTGATAGAGGTGCTAAATATTGCTATACTGGCAATCATATTACAATATATAAATGTATTGAATGAACATGTACAACCTCAATTTACATAATGTTCTATGTCAAATAATTCAACAAAAAATAAAATGCTTACATGAAGAATGAAGAATAAAATAAAATGCTTACATTAAGAATGAAGAATAAAACTTGGTTTCTACCTTTAAAAAAAAGGGAAAATGGGGCGCCTGGGTGGCTCAGTGGGTTAAGTGTCCAACTTCAGCTGAGGTCATGATCTCACAGTTCATGGGTTCAAGCTCCACATCAGGCTCTGTGCTGACAGCTCAGAGCCTAGAGCCTGCTTGAGATTCTGTGCCTCCCTCTCTCTCTCTGCCTCTTCCCTGCTCACACTCTGTCTCTCTCTTTCTCAAAAATAAATAAAGCATTAAAAAAAATTTAATATAAAAAATAAAAAAGGGGAAAAAACACCCTGAGTTCAAAAATTGGGAAAAAATTAGTTTATTTCAAAAGGAATTGGGTCTAAAAAGAGTCTTCAAAGAGGCTTAGCCAAGTGGTTTCCTTTGAGAAGTTTCCTGAGGGCACCCTTCAGATCGCGGTTCCGAAGGCTGTAGATGAAGGGGTTCAGCATGGGGGTGACCATGGTGTACATCACTGTGGCTACCATGTCCCTCTGGGTGGTGTGTGTGGATGCAGGGTTGAAGTAGACCCCAATAATAGTCCCATAGAAGAGAGAGATGACACAAAGGTGAGAGCTACAGGTAGAGAAAGCTTTCCACTTCCCCTGGGCTGAGGGCACCTTCCACACAGCCACAGCAATAGGTGTATAAGAGGCCATGATACACACAAAAGACATCAGAACCACCGAACCCCCAAGGACCAGCATCAACATCTCGTTGACTTGCGCGTTGGAACAGGAAAGCTTGATCAAGGCATTAATGTCACAGAAAAAGTGTGGGATCCTATTGGTGCAAAAGGACAAGCGGGTCATCAGGATGGTATGGACCATGGAGATGAGGTTTGCTGAGGTCCAGGGCACAGTCACTAGCAAGGCACAACGAAGGACGTTCATGATTGTCATGTAGTGCAGCGGGCAGCAGATGGCCAGGTAGCGGTCATAAGCCATGACTGAGAGAAGGATGCTTTCCGCTGCCCCAAAGGCAATGAAGAAATACATCTGGGCCAGGCAAGCCTGGGGGGAGATGGTGCTGTGTCTGCACAGATAGTTCACCAGCATCTTGGGGACGGTGGTGGAGGTAAAACAGATGTCCAGAAGAGACAAGTTGCTGAGGAAGAAGTACATGGGGCTGTGGAGGTGAGGGTCCAAGAGGATGGCCAGGATGGTGAGCAGATTCCCCATGCATCCGATCAGATACAGGCTGCAGGACATACCAATGAGCACCTGCTGCTGTAGGGGCTGCTCGGAGAGGCCGAGGAGGATGAATTCGAAGACTCGTGTCTGATTCTCCATATCCGGGCAGTTCTGAGGCCAGAAACAAGGGCGTCAACAGTGAGTGGACTCTGGAGGAAGAAATGGATCATTGCCTTACTGTCCTTCCCACCCAGCCTTCAGGGTTCCTCTCACTAACCTCTCTGAGCCTGTTTCCTCATGTGCTTAAGGAACTAATAATTCTAACTTCTTAGGATCATTACAAGGATTAAGTGATAAAACTGTGTACAAGGGCCTTAAATCCATACCTAACGTGTAATGTGGACAGTTATTTTTATTACTGGGAATTTCCAGTGATGCTATCAAGATAAAGAGTGATATATGTTAATTAGCTTGATCGCGGTGACTATTTCACAGTTAGGCACATATCAAAGTATCAAGTTGTATACCCTAATTATATACATTTCTACCTGCCAATTATGACTCACGAAAGATAGGGGGAAGAAATAAACCAAATAAATAGCCTAAATAAAATACTTACTATTTACAAGACTTGTTTAAAAAAATAATAAAAATAAGGGCACCTGGTCACTTGGACATCCAACTCTTGACTTCGGTTCAGGTCATGATCTCACAGTTCATGTGTTCGAGCCCTGTGTCGGGGTCTGCGCATGGAGCCTGCTTGGGATTCTTCCTCTCTTCCTCTCTCTGCCCCTCCCCAGCTCATGCTCTCTCTGTCTCTCTCAATATAAATAAATAGACTTAAAAAATTAAAATGAAAATATTTTTTATTTCTTTTTTATTTTTTCATTCATTTTTAATATATTTTCAATTGTGAGTAAGGGCATCAATTCTGAAGGCAGACAGCCTGGGGTTAAATCTTAGCTCTGCCTCTTACCAGCTGTGTGAGTTAGGCAAGTTACTTAACTTCTCTGTGCGTTAGTTTTCTCATCTTTAAAATGAGGCTAATAATAGTACCTGCTCCACATAGTTGTGAAGATGTGGTGGGTGAATACAGAAAATGCTGAACCTCATGAATTTTAAGACCTCTTAGTGGCCGAGAGCAAGGGTTCCAACAGACCCTGCTTGAATACCATCTCTGACACTCATTGGCTGTGTTAGCCAGTGACAGACACTCCCACAGCCTCAGTTTCTTGGGAGGAGTAAATGAGACAATTCGTGTGGAGCTCTACAGAAGCTTCTTTTAAAGGCACACTCTAAAATGTTACAAAGGACACGTATCTTTTCCATCAGTCTCATTGTCAGGCTGTAAGAGCATGCGCAGATTAATTATATCTTGGTGCAGGTTATTTCCAAAGGGAGCTAATTTCATTCATTTTATGCTTCTTAGCATCAGTGTTGGAGACAATCTTTATTTGCCCACAAATTCTGGCCCCATGTCCCAGGCACTGCTTGCATTACCCGGACCCTGGGCGCCCACTGACTCTGAGTCCACTTAGGCTAAGGTACACTCCAGCAACATACACGCCCAAATCTTGGTGGCTGACAGCACTGAAGGTTTATTTCCCTCTCGGGCTGCAGGCCCATCATAGGTTGCTATGGCTGTGCTTCGTGATGAACTCAGTCCAGAACTCAGGCAGAGAGACAAACCTCTGTGTCTGGGGCACTGCCAGTTATCACAGCAATGGAAAAAGTGAAGGGTAGGCTGGCTCCAAAGAGCTTTTACCAGGAAACAGCCTTCTCTCACCTCCACCCACATTTCAGTGGCCAAGCCTGGTGTTAAGGGGGTGGGGTGGCAGAAATCTCACCCTGGGAGCAACATTACACATTTGTGAACGACAATAGACTCTCCAAAGCTATCCAGTCATCTTTATCCATGGAAGGCTGAGAAAAAGAGTGAATATCTGGGTTGGCTGGTGTTTTGTTTTTGTTTTTGTTTTTGTTTTTGTTTTTGTTTTTGTTTTTTGTATCTATGGACTCCCCCATGCTGTTCACTCTGCAATCCACATACCATATGGCAAGGCATGTTCAGGGTACATCTGAGTTATGAAAATATTTATTTGGGGGTTTTGTTCTTTAAGTTTATTTATGTATTTTGAGAGGGAGAGAGCCCAGGAGGGGCAGACAGAAAGAGAACTGCAAGCAGGCTCCACTCTGTTAGCGCAGAGCCCAACACGGGGCTTGAACTCTCAAACTGTGAACTCATGACCTGAGACAAAACCAAGAATCAGACAGTTAACCAACGGAGCCACCCACCCAGGCACCCCAGAAAATGTTTATATTACAGGTGGCAGGTGTCTTAGTGTGGGGGCATGGGGCGGCGGGGGTGGGGGGGCAGAGGGCAGTCTCAATTGTCTTCCATACTTACTTACACTTTTTATTCAATGGATTAAATTCATTCTGAATTTCTGACTCAGCATCCACCTCTTTTCCAATTCCTGCTTGATTATCCTGCTGTTTCCTGGACATCACTCCCAGACACCGCCCCCACCCCAGGCAATCCCGTCTCGCGAGGTCTGAAATGGGATCCCCCTGCCAAAGCCGCTGAAGTTGGCCCTGGGAGTTTTTTTGCACTGTGGCATTCCATGGGGTGCACAACCTGGACAACCAAGTCAAGCACTGGGCACTGCCCGCCACTCCTGTCCTGCCTCTCACATCCCAGTGATTCTGAATTTGTGGACTTTTAAACATCATCTTAATCTCTTGGACAGAAGCAGGAGGTTCATTCCCAGCGCGAGTTCACTACAGACTCCCAGGTGAGTGATCTATCATCCCCTGGTCTCCCCATGGCCACTCTCGCCTCCCACAGCCCTGCAGCCAGTGAGCCTGTGGAAATGCAGACCCGGGTCCAATCCAACTTCACAGCTCAAGCCCAGGGATTCTCATCCTGGAGTCTGCACACATTTGGGGCCAGATCATTTTTTGTGGTGGGGACCGCCTTGTGTATATTTGCAGGATATTGAGCGACACCCCTGGTCAGTAGCACCCCCTCCACTCCAGCTGCAACAAGAAGAAACATCTCACGGCCCCTTGGGAAGGGATTGAAATTGCCCTCCATTGAGGACCGCTGAACTAGGTTGAAACCCCTGCTCTCTCCTCCCCCAGCACCTGCCCAAACTGACTAACTTTGAGCAGGACAATGATGCTTATTTGATGCAAATCCACAGTTGAGCTAACCCACTTGACATGTAGCACCCCCACTGAACCCTCCACAAGTGCATGGGGCAGGCAGCTGAGGCTCCACACCTCACTTCTGCATGGAGTTAGAATTCAGTCTGAGCTCTGGCTGAATTCTCTTGACCACTCTCTTGACCAGCTCAAACACCCTGTCCACCCACGAGGCTATGACACCAGGCACTCTAAAGTTTTGGTGGGGAACACTGTGCAGGCAGCTCCCTGACCTTTGAGGAGAAGTTCCAGGGAGGAAGTTGAGACCTGAGACCATGCCTCTACAGCTTGTCTTCTTGACACACTTACTTGACCAGTGGCTGCTCTACCTCTGGCAGATCCCAGGACCTCTCAGCCCATGGGTGTTGTGTTTCCAGGGGGGAGGGGCCACTGCTGCCTCCACATTGTCTTCTGACTGTAGAGGAGGAGCATGTTTTCTCTGGGAGCCAAAGCAGGGGCACCACCAACAGGTTTATACCAGACTCTCTGACCTCCTGAAGCGTGATCCCCAGAGAATCTTGTTAGAGGGAATAAAATTAGCTCATCCTCCCTAGCGTGCCTCTGAGTCTAGAGAGCATGCCTCTGTGGGAAAATAGTTGGTCCCAAGAATAGTGGCTTTTTTCAGATTCATCCCTCTTGGTTGACAGAGGAAGGTGTGGTACTCAATGTTTTCCATGATGAAACTTTTAAATATCTTATTACCAATAATGGTTATAATGTATTAAGTATTTGTTATGTGGGTAGAGCCACACTAAACATGTAATATCCCATCATTCCTGCTATAGTGAGTGCCTGTGTCTTCATGCATAGTCTCTAATTTTTCGCTTAAAGACATCGGAATGTCTGTGGTTCTGAAGGTCACTTAACGTTTTTGTGCAATGGTGTGATATTTTCCAAATATTTCTTTGTCTATCGATTTGCTCTTGGCTCATAAAACACAATCCCTATACCGACTCTGAATGCAGAAAATTTGGCAGACACTTCTAAATTCTAAAGGTGTGAGCAGCAGCCTTGGTGTCTCTGTGAAAACAAGGGTATCGTGTGTGAAAACTGATGGTTTTGTATCTTCTTTCCCAAATTTTAGTACTTTTGTTTCTTGGGTTTTTTTTCTGGGGGGAGGGGGGGAGAGGTATAGTACTGCTTTGTCTAGGACCCCCAGGATAATGTTGAAGAGAAATCCGTAACTATAGAAATCCATACATTGTTCCCAAGCTAAAATGGAATGTTCTCAATGCCACACTGTGAAATATGATATTTATAGTAGGACTCTACATAGATCTCACTTCTAGATTCAGACATTTCTGTTCTACCACAAGTTTGCTGAGTTTCTTTCTGAATCATGTTTACCTTATACAAGTTACTATGAATTGCATTGACTAATTTAAAATTTTATGTGGAATGTTCCTGTAGGCACAAATTAGACAGAATAAATGATGAACTCCTGTGTCTCAAGGTTTAATAATTATAAACACTCAACCAATTGAGTTTCTTACAATCTTCCCCCTTATTTGGTTTATCATTTTATTTTTTTTAATTTTTTTTAACATTTATTTATTTTTGAGACAGAGAGAGACAGAGCATGAACGAGGGAGGGGCAGAGAGAGGGAGACACAGAATCGGAAGCAGGCTCCAGGCTCTGAGCCATTAGCCCAGAGCCCGAAGCGGGGCTCGAACTCACGGATTGCGAGATCGTGACCTGAGCTGCAGTCGGACGCTTAACCGACTGAGCCACCCAGGCACCCCTGGTTTATCATTTTAAAGAACATCCCACAGAGTACACAAATGTACCCCTCTGTATTACCCATGTTCATGTTAGTATAGATTACTAACATATAGTGATATATCTCTATCTATCTATCTATCTATTCATCCATCCACCATCTGTCTATGCCATGCCATTAGCACACCTAACAAATAAATAAAAATGCCTTAATGTTTCCTGATATACAATCCATACTCAAATATTGTGATTTTTTTCCAGCTTTTTCTAATAAAAATCCAAACATGGTATACACATTAATTGAGTTACGTCATTAAGACTCTTTTATTTTTTTATATGAGATTCAAATTTTATTTGTGTTTTTAATTAATATGAAATTTATTGTCAAATTGGTTTCCATACACCACCCAGTGCTCCTCCCAACAGGTGCCCTCCTCAATGCCCATCACCCACTTTCCCCTCCTTCCCACCCCCCATCAACTCTCAGTTTATTCTCAGTTAAGACTCTTTTATTTTATCTATTTATATTTTATTTTATCATATCTAATAATATGACATTTGACTTTCTGTCATTTTTTTTTCAAAACTAGATTATTTGTCTTGTAGAATGTCCTACACGATATATTTTGCTCATTGTTTCATCCTGGTGTTATTTTACATGTACCCCAACAAAATTTAGAAGTAAGGGAAAGAAAGGGAGACAACACTACCAAGAGGACTAGGGCTTTCAGGAGACCCCCTTTTCTGCAGCCAAGCTGGGGAATTGTTATGAGGTCACATATCAAGACAATCTTTCCCAAGACTGAAGACAGAGGAAAGGGACATCTCAGCAGACCTGTGGCTTCTCACATATCCAATGATACCAATACGCATAGCACGTAGTAGAGGACCAAGAGCCAGAACCCATCAGGAAGGCACAGTCATAGTGAGAAGATCTGGTATCATGCCAGTTGCTGTGAAAACAAACACAAGGATCAGCCCAGTCCCTTAACCACAGTGCTGGGCAAGCCACACTCAGCCATGCCCAGCTGGGCTCACCAACAAGATCCCAGAAGAGAATAAGGCTACTGGCAAAGGTCTTTCCTTGGGGATATGTGACTAATCCTAAAAGTATAATATCCTAACCATATATTACAGCACTGTGTTTACATGAAGGAAATATTTACATCGGGAGCTTTATCATTATCTGTTGTGTGGGGCCATCCTGGGCACTGTAGGACATTGAGTGGCATGGCTGGTCTCTACCCACTCTCCATTGTGACAACCAAAAATATTGCAGTGCCAGATGTCTCTAGGAAGAAATCACCACCTTTTGAGCACCACTGTTTTATAATAATCATCTGGTGCAACTTCTTGAATTATAAATGAAACAAATGAGGCCAAACTGGACAAATGACTTAACATCCCTGGATCTCTGAGATTAAGTTTGAGAACATGATGCATTTGAATGTCTGGTGTATAACAGGTGACAAGTCTGTCAAATGATCCCATACTCTCTTTCCTAAACATTTCTTGAAATGCTTATAACACTCACTCACTCATTAATTCCAATATAGTTCATTGTGCACCTGCTGTGTACCAAGCCCTGTACTGGAAACTGGAGACACACCCATGTGTTGGAAGCCTGTTCTGCCCTAAAGTAGCAGCCTGTCTGATGGGCAAGACATACATAGGCAAAGGAAGATCATAATTAACACAGCTACAAAATTCTACATAGGGTATGACTGGGATATTAAGGGAGTTGGATTAATTCATGCTGGGCACAGGATGGGTTCTTCCATGAAGCTTGACACGAGCCAGTGAAAGATGTTCCAGATAGATGACACGGCAGGAACAAAAGTATAAAGATAAGATACAAGACAATATCGAAAAAGATGAGTCATTTACCACATAGCTGTGGCAAGGGGGTGGAGAGCCCTTGGGAGTGTAGGAGATGTGGGTATAAAGATGAATTGGCACCCACTATGTGGGAATTGAAAGGTGCCATCTGAAGATTCTAGGTTATCCATGTGGCACTGAGGAATCGGGTGTTTCCAAAAAGTATATCAAGGGCGTGTTTTAGGAGGATGGCCCCTTGAACTTGACTAGAGCATGGGTTGATGAAGGTAAGACTAAGTACAGGATATACAGCAATTGTCCTGACCTGAGCTGAGGCAGAAGCAGTGGAAGTGAAAGAGATAGCAGATGTACTCAAGATGGTCCAGGAGGCTTAGCGTGTGGTTCTGATAAAGTGTGTAGACACGAAAAAAGTCCAAAAACAGATGATGACCAGAATGTGAGGTCATTGAATCATACGTGGAGGGGTTAGGACTGGATCCCCTGGGAGTGATTCCTTGGGTGTGTTCTATAGGACACTAGAAGCTCCAGATATATCCAGATGAGCTGTGCCTCTCAATAAGCTTGGTACCTCACACACTGTCTACTCCCTCCTTAGAGTGTACAATTCTCTTCAATGTATTAAAGGCACTGAGACTTCCTACAATAAAGAACTTCCTATTTAATGTTGTTTAATTATGGTTTTTACACACACACACACACACACACACACACACACACATCTGCAGCTAACAAAATAGCAATAAGCATGACAACTGGAAATATGACAGGAAGTTTGGTTCAGGCCAAAATCAGACCCTTGAGGCAATTTGAGAATCTGTGGGAAGATGTCTTCAAGATTCAATGGGACAGACAAGCTCAGGTGTTCTGAGTCCAACAGAGACACTCACATGAAGGTAGGGACTGAGCCGTCTTGCCACTTGTGAATGCCCTTTGGGTATTGTTTCCTGAGGCCAATCCAGTAGCCATTATTTTCCTTTGGACTCAGGAATTTCTGCATGAGAAGAAGGCAAAGTAAGTCAGGAAAGACTACATCCAGAGGTGAGAATGGCAGTGGAAGCCATCCATGAAAGGGACTAAGACCTAGGGGACCCCATGGGCAAGGATGTCCTCCAATGTCACCACTGAACACATTGGCTTAAAGCTCTAGGTAGATGACCATTTCCACCATTATTATGACCTGTGTAATTAGCAAATTATGGACACTTACAGTCCTCAGGCTTTTCATTTGTAAAATGGGGATAAAAATGGCAGGTGCCTTCCAGGATTTTCTGAAACTTCAATGAGGGAAGAAGAGCCCAGTATGGCTCCTAGATGAGCACTGCCTGGTTAAAGGGTAGATAGGATTATTCAAGGGCATGGTTAACAGGGTGAGGAATCTGGACACTACTCCATATAAAATGTTCTGGCAATCAGTTGGATTCCACTGACAAACATTGAGTCCGCTGAACCATACTGAGTGTGTCCAATCTGGTTCCAGGCAGTATGGACTCAAGAATGAGTCAGAACCACCCCTAGCCGGGAAGTTCTCCATGTGCAAGGAGATGAACCAGGGATCTGGCAGCATAGTCCAGTATTAAGGAAGAGGGGGTGGGAAGGATGTTGAAGGACAAAGTTTGATCTGATGAAGAACAGGTAGGAGCTGTCCAGGTAGATAGAAGGAAGCATTCCAGACAGAAGGGCCACCATGAAGAATCATTCAGAAGCAGGACTGAATACTGGGCAACGCTGCATGCTGAAACAGCGGAAGGACATTATGAAGGACAGAATGCAGGATTTGCACTGGATTCTACAGGGAAAAAGGACATGAGATTGCAATGACTTGACGGGTGTCCAGAGCACCCCTCCCTGCTTCTCACCTGCTCTGCTTGGCTGTTGATGATGACCAGGTGAGCACCCTTCTCTGCACAGTGATCCTTGGCTTTGAACCAGCTCAGTTCTTGTGTGGAAAATTGATAGCAGGAGCCCTGAAATGCCGTCCAGTTTTCACGGCAGGGCTCGCAGGAGGATTCTGGAGAAGGGGAGGGACATCAGCTCTGTTGAGGCTACAGGCTGCACTGGCCTCCAGAGGTGAAATGATCCAAACCTGTTCATCCGTGCCTCTTTGCCAAAATGAGCACGGTAGCTTCCCATGTGTTCATGCAAGAGCCGGGCCTTACCAGATGGCAGAGTGATACATGCAAGGGGCCTCACACTTTATGTTGGCATCCACCTTGACAAAGGATCGATTAAAACAACCCAACACCCGCTCGCGTGTTATAAGAACCACTACCATCAGCAGGGCTGAAGACAACAGCAGTCCTCTTCCAACTCCCAGTTCCCACCACCCAGCCCACCCTGCCTCCTTACCGTTGCCTGCCCGCACAGCTTCCGTTTGCCGGAACACCTCTCCCCACACGATGTCCCGCTCGTGCCCAGCATCTGCCAGACCCTGCACAACTAAGAGGCCCACAGAGAAAGGCGGATCAAGACCTGGTGGTGCGTGTGGGAAGGAAACCCTCCGTTTCGTTCAGCACTCACATTGGATGTCCATTTGCTTGAGGTCTTCCTGCATCTTGTTGGAGAACAGCAGTACTAGGAGAGACACGTGCTGATGTGCTCTAGACCTTTCAGCACCTGGTTCTTTTCCCACTCCCCAAACTGCAGGCTAAGACGAGGAGGGCAGGTCCCCTCTAAAATCATGAAGTCCAGCGATGCAGTCCAGCCACCCCCTTACTGACCCATCTCTGCCCCAGCCCTGTAGGGCCTGCTTCTCAAGACTCGGTCCATGTGATCACCCATTTCCCACTGGCTCACCACCTTACCCTCAGCCAGGACCACACCTAGGATGAGGTCGAACAGAAGCAGCATCAGAGTCATTGCCAGGCAGAAAAACTTCCAGGGGTCATCCTGGGGCAGCCTTTGGTCCCTCTGTGCTGCGGGGAATGCGGCAAGTATGAGGCGGTGCACATGGTCTGCCAGGATCATGCCAGGAATGTGGAGGGATGAAGGATGGGCCTGAACCATGCCCTGGAGTGGGAAGCAAGGAGCAGTCGCTGGTACTGAGGGCACCTACTCCTGCCCTGGGCCTCTTGACTCACCCGGTTCCCCCTGGATGGGCGGATATTTTCTTTCCATGGTGTGAGGTCCTGTGCGTGTGTTCACCTGTGGCTGCAGCTCCTTCTGGTCTAGCTACCCACAGCCCTTCTGGTTATTGTTGAAGACACGCCCATCCTATACTAGGAAATGCCACCCCCCACGTAAACCATCAGATGTTTCCTTCCTGGCTCAGTGAGGCCCCCAAGGTCTCTAGATGGCTTATCACCAATTCACGCCACCGGGAGATGGCATTAGCATCTTGGAAAAGGTGTTCTGTCCCAAGTATTCTCTGCAGCTGTCATTTCTCTCTCGGTTCGGGGGACAGTAGCCGCCCCAGAAATCTGCTTCGAAGTTTGTGGTGCATTTGCACCTTTAGGCTTCTGGTTCCATTTGTTTCAAAAAATCCCCCATTTTCTCAGAGATAAAATTGTAGTAATTTCAGCACTGGAGTTACGTTTATGCTCTCTCAGAGCACGTGGCCACTCCTTTCCCCACACGTTGGCTTTGTGACGTTACATCTTAAGTGGAGAATGCGATGGGGTAAGAAGAGGCAAGCTCATGTCGATGGAGAGGCTTCTATTTACCAAACCCACTGTTAGGAAACGTTCGTACATCGTGCCATTTCACATGTCTTTTTCTCTCTGAGTGCCATTATGATTTTTCTCCTTTTCTTTGGTTTTCAGCAGGTTGCCTAGAGTGTGTGTGTGTGTGTGTGTGTGTGTGTGTCTCCATATGCTGTTTGGAATTCACCCAGCTAGGATTTTCTGAGTTCCTTCAATCTGTGCTTTATCTTTCATGATTTTTATAAAGTTTTCAGAGCCCCACACCTCCTACTCATTTACTCTGATGACATGTAATACACTCCCCTAACCTATCAACCTCAGTTTCCCTATTTATAAAATGGGAATAAGTATCCCCCACCGATCAGGGATGTTCTCTGCTTAGAGATCACGGTATCTGGTGATTCACAAGCCTCCCATACATACAGCTACGGGTATTTTGAGAGGCACACTAATACTCCTAGACTTGGCCAAGCAGGACGCCTACCTGGGTCCTGAACAACAGGGGGCCCTCAGTTTCAAAAACATTCCTCGAGGGAAGTCCTCCTCTGCTATCCAGGGTCAGACAAGACTGTCAGTGGCTTCCAGAAAGAGCACTCCAGCCCCCCAGGACCACAGTGAGTTCAAGTGGGTCTTGGCCATAGGAAAGAATTGTCTCAAACTTTTCACTCCCCTCTGGTGCCTGTCACCTTCCAGGGACAACCCTGGTCCCCATGTCTATTTTGGGGGGCACTCTTAAACCTCAAACACCACAAAAACACTACATCCATGAGTTTTATTACAGGATGTTCAACTCCAGACTTGAAAACTGCACTCTGGCCAGTGGGAGTGGCTCGATCAATAAACTCCACACCAGGCATCTATTGAGTCTCTACCAAGCGCCAGCAGCTGTTACAGGCGCTGGGGACACAGAGATATATCGCATCCAGTCCCAGACCCAGCAAGGATGAGCCATCGTGCTCTGGGGCAAGGCTGTGAGGGCGACATCTGCTGGTCACCATGGGAAATGTGGTCCCTGGCGCTGGAAGGATGATGAAAAAGGCCTTCTCTGGGCTGATAGCAGAGGGAGGGGAATTCCTGCCAGAGGGACGGAGACCAGTAATGTAGAGAATGGGACACTGTGTGGTTGGGTTACGTCCACATGCTGGGAGAGCTTGGGGGAGATAAGCTACGGGCCTGAAAGCTGGACAATGGGGTTTGGAATGGATCCTGCAAAGGACAGGACATGCCCCTGCACTGTCTTGGAGAAGGGCCCTAAGGCCCACCTGTCCCCACCTGTTATGTTTGACCACTGGTAGTGACTAGGTGAGCACCCTCCTGTGCAAGGGAGACTTGCCTGATTCCAGAAAAGTTGTCTGAGGAGAAGTAGTAGCAAGAGCCCCCAAACATGGGCCAGGCATTTGTCTGGGCTCACAGGTGGATTCTGGAGAAAGGGCAGGTTCCCCTAAGGGCTGAATATTGGACATGTCTCCTTCAATTCTACCACCCTCATTTTGCATCTCTAGGCTAAAATGAGGTGGGAGCATTTTCAATTTCTTGAATGTACCAGACTCTCACCCCAGGTCCCATCACATCCCTCATGCCTCCCTCCCATCTGCCTCAACTAATTGGTCTCAGATCACCT